TTGAAATATCTCTCTTATTCACCCCGGTACCCCATTGTTTTTTGTCGCCATCACATTGAACACATCATTCCCCATATCTTCAAATTTTTTCACATTTTTCTTGAGTTCCTAGGGGGTTGAAACGTTCAATTTAATCAAAACTCCATAAGAGGCCGTGTATAAGACCGATTTTGTTTATTTAATTTCTCGATATCCATAAGTTCTAAAATTTTAAAATTGTCACCGATGTTCACCATCTGTCTAATACTATTAATTTAAAAAATTATAACTTTGTTGGTGAATGTCAATTTTCAAGGTCATCGCCAAATTCACTTGGCACCCTTAAAAAAACATTCGACTGGGTTGTGGGTCGCTCGCTTCGCTACCATTGCGCGTGGGTGGGAATTCGATTGGGTCGCTGGTCGCTCGCTCCCATTGCGTGCGGGCTGGATTACGTGTGACCTATTACAGATGGAACCAATCACTTCCCGACCAATTCCCATATTTCTGTTTAGTAGTAAAAAAAGAAAATTTTGAAATTTCCATCCGGATAATGAGAAAACGGTTGAGATGATTTGCTCAGGATCCAATCAAAGTCGAATGATATCTGGATGGATCCATCGTACTTTAAAAAATTGCAAAATTGTTGAACTTTCAAAGAAAATTTTTTTTCCACAAATTTTATGCAAATGAAAAAAATTAACCGAATCGCTTCATTTGATTAGTAGCTATCATTGAACAAAATTTTGAAATTTTGACATATATATATATATACACACTCACATACGAACATGTCTTCAAAAACGTATTAGGATGATTCTAGTGCTCATGAAACGCCGATAAATCATGGAAATTTCACTTTTGATGTTCGGGGTAATTACAATAACTTCCCTCCCTTAGAGTCAGGAAGTTAATAGAGGGAAATTTAAGATGAGATTCATCAATGGTTATCGATATGACATGTAGCTCCAAATCCAGAGGACATTGCTAAGTGTGAAGTAGATGGAAAGACCTATCTCGACGGCCAATACTTCCAGCCAGAGGGGGAGCCCAGAAAATCCTGCTATTGCGGTCCTGATTACAAAGGTGAGTACAAATTCCATTTATCCCTTCTTCCTTGATAACGTTTTTTCCATAAAAATTTCATTCCGTTTCGGTGACAGGTGAAAACGTGGCGCCCTTCTGCAAGGATCTGAGTGTTGAGAATTGCGGAGTCGAATTGTGGAATGGACACAACATTCGAAACCGTTGTGCTCCGGTTTACAGTATGGATCAAGATCCGAGGTTGGATTGCAACCACGAGTGGCGTTGTCGTAAGTAGAATTGCTTCCGTAACTTTTCATTTGCGGACAAAATTTGCACGACAAAATTTCCGTGACAAAATAACCGACAATTTTCTCATTCCTTCCTGCAGACGAAGAAGGCGATAAAGTAGAGCCGAGAGACGACGTAATACCAGATCCCCCGGGAATATCAATGGACTGTAACATTGGAAATTTCACTATGAAATTCGGAGATGAAGTTAACCGCGTCTCAAGGGACTTCTGCATCAAGTGTAGATGTGATCTTCCACCGCTGCCCACTTGCGCCGCGATGCCTAAGATAGTTTGTTCTATGACAGCGGCTGACCTCGTTGATTCTGATGAGAAGAAGTCATGAATCCATCAGTACCTATTTGCTAAATGTCCTTTAATCTGGTGTTAATCCAGGGTTAATCTAGAGAAAATTGGCGCAAAGATGAATGATATCAAATGAATCTCTATGCGCTGTCTTATTTGAACGCACAATAAAAATATTTCAAAATTATCGAAGGTTACGAAACTCTGTTATGGCAAGGCTCAAAATGAAGGTTGAGATGATTCAGAACTGATAGATTTCTACACAAAGAATCGCATACCCACCGCTTCAATCAAGTTTTAATTTATTTTCTGGCGTGCTCCGAGATCAGGAAACATTACAATTATGAAGACTCCGCTCATTACACGGAGTAGTCTGGCGATCGCAAGACTTCTCTCGATGATTCCGACGAAAGGTGCCCCTCGCGTGAAAAAATCGGGAAAAAACCGATTTCACATTCATATCGATAAAGAATTTTCGAAAGGATCCGATTATACAGACTGTTCAGAAAATGCTTCGCCTTTAATCGAGAAAATCCCGACAATTTTCGGAACTCTCCTTAATCAATTACAGTAAACTTCTGATGGTGTAATATGGATATGACTGTGGGGGAAGCGAATTAGGAGAGCGTAACTGTATCAGATGAAATTAGTAGAAAAATGATTTTTGCTACAAAAAACCCGTTTATATTTCAAATTCAAAGTGGTCCATTCAGCTCAAAACCCCCGTATTTCTAATTCCTGCAGCCTCGAGATAATTTTATTTTGACGCAATAGAATAATTTCTTACATTTCGCAGTCATTTTACTGGTTTTCTCGAGAGTTTTACCCTAGATTCGATTCTGTTGAAATGTCGTAAAATTGACGGTGAAAAAAATAGATTTTCTTGTGCGCCGAAGGAAAAATCACGGAGTTCATTCATCTTATGAACTCTCCGGGCAAAATACCGGTGGCGCACCAGATTTTATCCGTATCTTCTTGCTCCGTGTACTTTTCTCAATCATCATTACGGTCAAATGGATTCACAGCATTCAAGTTCAAGTAGTAAATTAACTAATGAATAATGAATAATTCACAGCTATAAAACCTGATAAAATTGTGTTTATTTACAATGAATTCAGATGGTTAGTCATGCAAATGCAACCATATGGCAACGATTTCACAAGAGCTCCCATGAATCGACAATAATTTTACTTATGTTAAAATGTCCCCCATAGGTCGGTACCAATCTTCCCATCTCCGAGTTGATCTTCCTCTTTTCTCAATGAATTATCAATTACTCTTCGATGTTTTTTACGATCCAGTCAGCGTAATGATAGACACGTGTAAAGACATCGGGTCTTTCCTTACCGCATGGAATTCCATAGGATACAATTCCAATGAGGACTCCATCAGCAACAAGGGGGCCACCAGAATCACCCTGAAGACAAATTCGAAAAATTATTATAATCACGTATGTGTCATTTTTTGCAGGTAAGTTCACCGTGGGAAAAGCTCAAATGATACCGAATAATTGTGGAAGCTACTTACGTTGCATACACCTTCGCCAGTTTCAGTTAATGTGCAGATCTGACCGTCGGTAACGTAAAAGTAGCGCGAGCATCGTTGCTGATCATAAATCCGAAGATTAATCACTTGCAGTCTGGTAGGAGTTGGCCCCCAAGCCTGAAATGGAAGGCAAAAGTTGTAGATACTTATTTCACCTTTCTTCATCCTTTCAAATAGGAAATTCAATAGGCAATTCTGTATGCACTGAGAGAAAAAATTATTCCTGCCAAGGATTGATATTCTCGTCAGAAGATAATATTTTTTCAGAACGAATTTTTCCAGGACAGTCATTTTCAGAGAGTCCAAGTCTATCCTCAAAAATTACAGTGATATTGAACAATCTGATTATTATGCTACATATGACCTTGACAAAATGTTCTCCGATATCTTCCGGATTTTACAAATTGGCGATTTTCTCAGGTAAAGAAAATTGGAATAATTCCAAATGTTAATAATTATTATTGGAGTTTCTTCGAGGTCATATGCAGAAGAATATTCTTATAGATCACCATAATTCTCACGCTTGGAACTGATTTCGGAGCACCTGGAAATGACTGGCCTGGAGAAATACGTTCCAAAAGAGATATTTTCTTCTACTAAGAGTATAAAAAAAATATCACCAATAACATTTTCTTGGAAGGAATAAATTTTTTTCTCAGTGTGGCCACATGAAAAGGGGCCACTTTGTCGCATTTAGTTTCTGAAATATTCACGTTTTTCTCTTCACTCCACCACTTTTGTACGTACGGTGTTTGCGATTTACGTCTCACGCTTATGTTTTACATTGTTACTGAATTGTATGTACAATGGCCTTTAGTATTTGGATGGGTGATCGCAGCTCCCGGACCCAATCACCGGAGTTATAATAGATTGAATAACTCATTGTATCGGCCGTAGAGCGGCAGTCGCACAGTCACAGTCGGAAAAAATCGAAACTTGAAATTTGCATTTTGTCCCTTGAAACTCCAAAACTGCATGCATTGAAAAAATGAATAAAATGGTTCATTGCAGAGACAATTCCATTCACTTTCCAAATGTCTTTTCTAAATGTCAATATGTCTCTTAGAATTCGAGAAAATGATTTTTTACTGTTGACGGAAAGGGTCGATACCATGCATTAACCCCGACCGATAGGACAACTTTTTTTTTTTTTTATATATATTCCGGCCCTTTCTGCTCTCTGATTGGCTAATCGGCCCTATCCAACCCTATGCATGCGGCTGTGGATTCTACACTGCATTGCATTCGCACTCCTATAGAACATAGGAGTAGCATGGGAAACCACAGAAAACCCATGTCAGTACAGGCGGTCACTATATTAGCGACCTCCCGCTCGCCGGAGCCTCCGGTTGAAAAACTCGGTTCCACGGGGAATCGAACTCACAACCTTTCGCACACTAGGCTTGCACCTAGCCGCTTCGGCCACCGACGTCGGTGATAGAACAACTTTGGGGGTCGATTCATGGTATCGACGCCGTACGTGAGGGGTGAACTCCAATACCCCCAAAGTGCGCCCTTTTCATATATGTTCGTACACCCGCAATTATATACTCACGTATATTCTTCCCCACCCGGTAGCAACAACCGGATATCCATGCTCCTTGATATTCTCCCGAGCTATCTCAACAGGCTGAACTCTCTTGTTGAAGACGATATCTTTAGTGGTCCTCAGAAGAGCAATGTCGTTGGTAATACGTCTGGGGTCAAAATCGTGGGATATGATCTTCTCAATATCGTACTTCTCTCCGGGTTTCTGCCAGACGTTTGTGCCCACCACGATGCTCATTGACTCGGCTTTCCTGCTGTAATCCCAGATAGTATCTGATCGATTAGATTGGGTGTTCGTCGAGGGGTATCCCCAGAGGAATCATTATCTCGAATTCAGTAAAGTTTATTTGGATCACATAAATGTGCTGATTCAAATTGGGAACTCTAGTATTGAATGCCGGGCTCTACCGGCCGTAGCGCCTACTAGTGCGAGCAGGTAACTTGCAGCCACTCAATGGGTTTATGTAAACAAAAGAGTTGTTTTTTGCCGTTAATTATTAAATTTCTCGTGATTTATATTGTTTATGCATATCAACTCAGTTCCAAAGTCATCCTAAAAGCAGCGAGAATACTATTTTTCAATCAAAAAATGGAGTTCGACATCAGAGGAACAAAAAATAAAGAATTTTGCAGTGTGCCTGGCTGAGATTCTTGCAATTTCCTTTAAAAAAACAGTTTCGTCAAATTGAAGACGAAATTCGGTGAAGTGGAAACAGTTGATTGTCTAATTGCTTGGAAATCGGAAAGCCAATGCCAAAATCAATGAAAGTATTTGCGTTATATTTTACCAAAGACGACTTCTTCGCTGAATGTAAGTTCAGCTGAGAATCTAATGAAATTATTCAATTTTCTATTGCCAGTTGATATTTCTGTGATCACTCGTGAAATAAGTTGACTTTATTCATTTCAATTGTAGGTGAAAATCGTAAAGCTGTTCGCTTAAAAGTCATAAGGGTTCCGTCTTGTAATTTGACACAGAGACAGCAAATTGACACAATTTTTGCATAGACACTTTCATGATCAAACTACCCGTGGGATCCCAACGAAAATCTTACAATTTTTAATTACTCCAATTGATTTATTTCAATTGTTTACAAGGAAGATTATACGAACGTACTGACGATTACCTGCTCACGCTCGTTCGAATTTCGGCCGCAATACGCCCAAGGCATTGGCCACGCCCCCCTCAGAGTTGCCAATAGATCATAATAATGCTTTTTATCAAACTTGAAGTTGATTTTGCTTTCAAATTTTGGCTATCAACGTTGGAAAATGGAATCATTGTTTAGAGGGCGAAGAGAACGAATTTACTAACGCGTAATAATTCTTCCTTTAAAAAGGACGAATTGTGTATTTCATAGAATCAAAACTTTTTCATTGAAATAAATATAGGGGATGATTAATTTCCAACAAAAATATTGTCAGAATGAATAGAAAAATTTTAGATGAACAGTTTTATCTGCGTTAAAGTCTATAGTCCTTTGGGCTTAGGAAGAGGATGAGTTAGTGATTTTGTTACTTACTTGTCAACACAGTGAGCAGCAGTTACAATGTAACGTTTGTGGATGATTGCACCACCGCAATTGTGGGCGCCATTTACAAGCAGCGATATTTGGTAAGGATGTGCCCCATTTTCGGCGTCAGTGCCTCCGATGATTCGACTGGCTGGGAGAGCTGTGAGAAAAATTATTTATTGCTACCTCTTTCATCGTCACTTTTGTAAACAATTAGAACACACTGTTACAAAAAAAATTCTGTCCATTTTTTAGAATAATTAAACTCAAATTGTAAATTTTCATCATTTCCTGTATCGAAATCTTGGATCAATTCCTGTTTTTTATGTTCTTTGAGTGCGCAAAAGAGCGTTATGATAGCTTGAAACCTCGCTGAGACATGACTCTCTTAATTATCAATATTTTTTCAATTTTATTTTTAAAATTTTTGTGTAATAGGAATCTTTTCAGAAAAAAATTGAGACGAAAATCCCCTGCGTCGACTTTTTAGCCTGCTGATTTAATGTGAATCTGAATTCTCTGAAGTTTAAGTAGAACTAAAATTTGATGAATTTTTCCAGAAGTTAACCGAAAATTTCAGAAAAAACTTTTCAACATCCTAGTTGTCGTTGATTTCTCAGTTAATTTTTTGAACTTACCATTAGCCACAACGGCTAAGCACAGAATGGTGACCAACAGGAAGCACTTCATGATCCACCCGATGAGAGTTATGCTCGTAGCTTTCCAAAGTCGCTCCTTTTGTATGAAAATTTTACTGCGCATTAAAGATAGATCTTGATAATCGTGTATAGGAAATCCCAGGTAGTACAGGAAATCACTTCACTGATAATACGGATTTATCGGATTGATCAGTCCGAAAATTTAGTAGCTAATCACATATTTCTGATAGCGTCATGAGTACGCATTCAAATCTGCGATAAGACAGGTCAAAGAATGGCTGAAACTCTGATTTTGTCCACTCATTGATTCAAGAACTTATCTGATTTTTTATTGTGTGATAACTTGGGTTTTGATTCTGGGATAAATGGTATTCCCGCCAATTCCGACGTCGAGATCAACTGATTTTGTTGCTAAATTTAAAACGGGGTTGCAAATTTAATCAGTTTCATATTAAGATTGCATCCAGCGGATTAATTAATTATAGCTATCTTGGATAATGACATACTCGCCAAGATAATTTTGCAATGTGCTGAAATGATAATATTTATGTTTACAATTAGATGACAAGGGTCCACAAGGTTAAAAAGGTTCCCGCCGTTAGTCCTCCTTATAACATGAAGTAGATTTATAATAATGACAAATTAAGGGTTTCGACCCTTGTAACCAGGGATCCCCATCAGTATTAAATTTCTGTAATATTACACAAACTTGACCCTTACATTGTTGAAGGTTTAAAATATGTGGATTCAATTTTTCCAATAATATGATATTGATAATCTGATTTTTTACGAATAATTAAATATTTAAAATTTGTTAATATGCAACTATAAATTTACAACTAAGTGAATAATTCAAATTTTTTGAAAGCAGGTTTTCGATTACACAAGTAATCGTCAATCTTCCTACCTTAAATTATTGATTGATAAAATAGTTAAAAATTTGAATATTTGAATTGATGATATTTAATTACTTAAAAAATTACAAGGTTGATGTTTTTCAATTTAAGGGCTCCAAAAGTAATCGTAATAAAATATTATAAATTTGGCTATCCCTGCTTGTAACCCTGGTGGACCCTGCAGTATTTTTTATTTCCAGTTAGAATAAGAGAGAATTTTCTCTAATCAGGGGCTTTGGCCGTAGTTAGGAATTACATTATATTAATCCGATAAAATTTTTCGTCTCCGATTTTTATTCTTTGCTATTTTTTAATGTATTCTATCAAAATGTTAGGATAAAAATTGAATTGATGGGTATTCTTTCATTATTTGAAGAAATATATCAATTTTAAAACTTTCCGGAAACATTGCACAATTGATATTTTTATTTCCTTGCTGATCATCTTTCTTTATATTTTCCTTATTCCGTTCCATTGGAATGAGATTAAAGAGATGAAAAATTTTCATATCCGTCGACATTTTTCAAAAAATTGGTACGTCTTGATTTAAGGAAAAGAAAAAACAATGATCAATTCCAAAATTTTAAGGGTACATTGAAAAATATCAACGGATAGACATTAGAAAGAGTAGGTGTTCATCTTAAAAGTAACGTGTTCAGTCATGGAATTATACGTGGAATTGTCAAGAGTGAGGACAAGTGAAAAATTGAAAATATGCATGACTGAAGGAGGTAGAATAAAGAATGAAAAAGATGGAAATAATTATATGAAAAATGCAGTACATAAAGAAATTTTTGAACAATGATGTAAATATGAGAAATATTTAGATCATCATCCGAAAAAAAGTATCAATACTCTCCTTATTATTTAACATAAATATCTCTTCATTTGAAAATAAGAAAAACTGTTCCCACCATTTGTATACTATAATGGGAATAGAATCCAATAAATTTAATTTAATCTAACCGCAAAGAAAAATTGGAAAGAAAACAATAAAATAAGCGCCCTTTCGCTAGTTACAGAATATGCGTTTAAATAAAATCAGTGCGGCATACAATTTTTTTCATATTTTTAATGAGGTTTTTCCGAGTTATACTAAAAAAAAAGAACTTCGCCAGCGTGGTGTCATGGACGCGAGTAACGAAGGGTTAAAACCCTTCCATCCCATTTCATAACAGCCATATCCTTTAGAATATATTAAGGCAAGTGCCGAAGGGTTCACCCTCTGAGGTGAAAGTCGAACTCAGTTGTACGACTACGTTGCGATCGCGAACAGAAGAAGAAGAAGAACAGTGCCATTTCTAAGGTACCGCAGTTCTCCCCTACAATGAGAATTAATTTAGTCTGTTCGAGAATCTGTTGAGCCGACACTGACGTCGCAGCTCCCACCATGCTAAGCAGCGCAAGCCTGCACGAGATAGCAGTGGGGAAACCGCACACTTGATTGCCTCAAAGGCTTAACGATTTTGCTAGTCCTATTTACTAAAGATGAACGAAACGTGATGTTGTTTTATATCGAAATATCTCGAAACTGCCTGACCGGTAATCCTTCCCAAGTAGCAAACTTTGCGAAAGATATCTGAAAGTATACCAAAAAGGCAGACTAATGTCCGTCCAAAAGGTATCTTGCAGTCATACGATAACTTTTAGTTAACTTCTAGGTAACTTCTAGACACAAGTTACCTTTTTGGACAGACATTAGACAGCCTTTTTGGTATACTTGCAGATACCCTCCAGAACTGTGCTGCTTGGGAATTAATTCTGATTGGTCAATACGTTACACGAAGTTATTCACCAAAAAAACCCGTGGCATTTTCAAATTCTTCAGTGACATAATTTCAAATTCTTCAGAGGTAAATTTTTTTTTCACGTCATATATAATATATAATATATATATTTCACATGTATATATATCATCGGTGAAATTAATAAATTCTGTCCTTTTATGGAGTCCGATTATTTAAAAAAATTGAAGATAATTTATTGAAAATGAAAAATTCTTTATAGATTCTTTTACTCTACTTCGCTATTCACTTCAATCATTAGTCGAATTCTCTTTGATTCATTATCAATATTTATAAGGTATTCATGAGAAAATGAAATTCAATGAATTCCATTTCTTCATTTCAACAAATGAATAGATCAGCGCGCGCGAGAGCGCGCGCATAGATCTTGTTATCAAAAATTCTTGGCGGTTGGACGCTGATGATAACTATATGAAAGAATTAACAGCTCGTGAAAAATTATTCAAATAACTAGATAAAAATCCCCCACAATATTATTCAATTATTTATTTTATTTATTATTTAATTATTTATTTATTTTTTACTTCGCCAGAAACAATTTCTGTCCTCCTTAGGATGAATTACTTCCTCATCAGTCTAAGAATATAGAGAATTATAATATCAGAATATTCTAACTTAGGAGGGTTTAAAAAGAAAAAATACTAAATACGAAAAAATTTATTTATTCATACATCAATTGCATACATAATTGCTTCATAACAATCAAGATACAATGTCATCCGGAAATTACCTTCCGAAGTGGCATGAGCCAAAAGTTTATACAAAACAGACGATATTTTACATAAACGTTTTTTGATAATAGTTTTTAAAATATGTATGTATGTAAATAATGACTGTTTTTAATGAAAATTTTGGTGAACAGAAAAAGTAAATTCGTTTTCGTGTCACGGGACCTGAAAAACTCCACTTTCGTGGCGCGCAGCTCCCTTCACACGAAAATTAATATACACACCTCGCCATGGAAAACATATCACCCTCGCCTTCGGCTCGGAAGGCAATCTTGCACGTGGGGGACGGTGATCTGTTTTCCAAGGCTCAGGCATGTAATGTACTATTGCTCACGTGAGCATGCAAGAGATTGCAGGTGCAAAAGCCCGGCCAGGCAGAATGGTACGATCCAACAATTTCAAGTCGCGATCACCATCGCAGTGTAGGGTATGCCTTAACCGGGTCGGAGCGATGTATAATAACAAGAACAACGAATCAAGACATGTGTTAAATATTTTTCAACCCGCCTTTGTACCAATCTCCTCATTTTTCAATTGCTCTGTGGGTTTTCGTCAACCCCGCTCAATTAGTTTTCGATATTCTTGACAATCCAATCAGCGTAATGATAGACACGTGTGAACACATCAGGTTTTCCCATTCCGCATGGAATACCATAGGAAACAACACCAACTAGGACTCCATTAGCAGTGAGAGGGCCGCCAGAATCACCCTAATAATCAAGTTATTGATAAAAATAATAAAAATCACCATCATTACCAGGTGTAACGAAAAATTTTTTTCAAGGAAAAACTACTTACGTTGCATACACCTTCGCCAGATTTAGTCAATGTGCAAATTTGTCCTTGAGTTACTGGAAAACGGTTCTTGCATTTATTTTGATCGTAAATCTGGAGTTCGATCTCTTGGAGTCTTCTGGGAGATGCGCCCCAAGCCTGAAGGGAAAAACGTAATTATTGGTCATGAATTCATGATAACTTTGAAGCAGACAATTATGAAAATTTGCTCTTCATTTTGTTACTGCACTATGATTCGTTCAGAACTAAAATCACTAGAAACTCGTATTCTGACGTGAATTTTCTCGATTTTTATCGATTTTCACAGAATAATCGAACTGGAATCTGCAGCTTCACGCATGAAAAAATTCAATAGAAAACCTAGCGAATTCACTAGAAAATTCTATAAGATTTCTATGGGATTTCCATAGGATTTCTATTGGAATTCTATTTGTTTCTTGCGCTCATTCTATTGGATATTTAATAAGAAAAAGCCAATAGATTTCGAATTTCTGTTTGAATTTTCCTCTTGAGATTTTTTCTATTAGAATTATTGGGCACAAATTTTCCAAGTTTTTTCCGCTGGATTTTGTTCTATTTTGCATTGCAGAATCCGAGTGGAAAAAACTTGGAAAATTGATACCCAAGCCTTCTTCTAGAAAAAATCTCAAGATAAAATTCCAAACAGAAATTCTAAATCTATTGACTTTTTCAATAGAATTCCAATATAATTTTCCAGCAAATTCGCTAGGTTTTCTATTGAATTTTTTCATGCGTGTTCCATTCAATCTCTGAGTTAATGATTAGAAAATTAATGGATTCCGTTTGTTTTTCAACTCAAGCCAAACATGAGGAACTGGGATCGACAAAGTGGACCCTTGTCATAAGGTAGCACACATTTAAAGTCTTGATCATATTTCGCATTATACTCAGAATAATGATAAAGAAACGAATAGGATTGTTCAGAAAGAAAATCACCAGAAAATCATATTCTCACTTGAATTTCCTCGATTTTTATGAATTTTCACAGAATAATCGAACTGGAATCTACAGTTGCCATTCATTATCTGATCTAATGATTAAAAAATTAATGAAATTCCATTTTTTTTTCAGCTCAGACCAAAAATTTTCAACAATTAATTGAATTTCCGTAACTACTTGTTACGCGATTTACCAATTGGTTACTGAATCAGTGTCTACTTACTGTAAGTCTTCCCCATCCAGTGGCAATCACTGTATGCCCATGATCTCTAATATCGGTTTTGGTTATCTTAATAGGCTGAACTTTCTTATTGAAGACAATTTCTTGAGTGGTCCTCAGTAGCGCAATGTCGTTGGTAAGAGCCATGGAGTTGAAGTCGTGGGATATGATTCTTTCCACATCGTACATTTGGCCGGGTTTCATCCAGGCGTTGGTTCCAACCACGATGGTCAATGCCGATGGACTCACACTTAGATTTTAATAACAATGGTTAATTAGAGGGGTCTTACTCTAAAGGCAAGAGACAGAATCGACGAAGAATTGAGTGCATTCTCAGAAAAAAAATAAAATTTCATGACCATTTCGGTGGTAATTTTATGAAAAGCGACATTGAATTCGATTTGGGCAAGAAGGCCTGAAGTTTGTATTTTCTGAAGTTTGAAAATTCAGGACTAGATTTACCAGAAATTTCCTGATTTCTATCAATTTTTATGCAATGATTGAATGAAATTGTGAATATTGCTTCCATTGATGTCTTCATCAAATTCTGAATTTCCAATGTAATAATATCTTGCAATTTCAGTGAACCTGTCACCTGATAAAAATTTTCAACAGTGGAGTCTATGAGGAAAAGAAATTAGATTTCATTGATTATTTTTGGTAATCGGATCTGGCCTTCCCTGGGCCAATCAGAGTTCAGTATTCAATAACATGAAGTACTTCCCAATTAAAATCACAGCGGTTATTTCTCCCTAGCTTTTGATAATTTCCCTGTAGCTTTTGATAATTTCCCTCTAGCTCTGCAATTGTTTCTCTAATCAAATAACTGTCAAATATTATCCTGTGGAGTGAAAGGAAGTTATGAAGAAAGTCAAAATGAGTCGGTTTGGGAAGGATCCGATTACCAAAAATAATCCGTCGAATACCACTTGACCTCCAATATTAATGGAACATTTCCCTCATGTTTTCCTGCGTATCAACGATCGGAATAAGTTTTGAACAAAAATCCCTCGCGCCGCGCGCTCGTGATTTTAATCTGCAAAACTTCTCGCTCTCGTTGCTACGCAACAAAACAATCGGGAAATATCCGATAATTTTGGAGGTTTCGTGGTATTACTACTGATTATTTCCCCCATCACCCTTCCGAACAATAGAATTGCGGAATTCGAAGTCCCGTGGTTCCATCCGAACAGAATTTAATACCCCGTCGTTCGGTAATTTCCCGTTGTCAAGTAGAATAACAAAAAATTGTCTATTGTATCACGATGACATCGAATATTACGATTTTATTTAACAAAATGATAATGTGGAAAATAATCCACCGAATACCCGAGCTTCAAAATGAATCGGAGTATTTCCCTCGAATTTTCCCGCATACAAACGAATGCGGCAAGTTTCGCAGAAGAAATCCCTCGCGCAAGCGCTTGTAGGCGCAACTGACAATTCAGTAGCGAAGCGATAAACCGGGTCAAGTCAATTTTGACTATTGGTCAGTTTTTGACGAATATCTCGAAATCTAAAAGAGATGGAAAAATTTTTGTTATTACCTTTTTTGTAGTGTCAGTTAAGGGCTATAAAAAAGGTCATAAGAAAAATTTCGTTATCTCTCTTAGATTCCGAGATATTCATCAAAAACTGCCCAAAATTCACAATCGACTTAACCCGGTTTACCGCTCCGCTACTGAATTTTTAATAAATCAAGTGAAAAACCTATCGAATTTCAAATTCTCGAGCAGCAGGAACACGAGAATTCCCCACTCATTTCAAATTTCAATCGTGAAATAAATACTCAGTACTGAATTAACCCGCATTCCCCCAATTGCCCAATTATGAACAATCAATTATGGAATGCCTTGAAATTTCAGTAGAACTGTCTCCTGCTAAATATTTCCATCTCAATGAAAGTTTACCGAAAATTTCAGCGAAATATTTTTAACAGTGCATTTACTTTTGAACACAGTGAGCAGCAGTGACAATGTAACGCTTGTGTATGATTGCACCTCCGCAGTTGTGTCTCCCGTAGTAGAGAAGCGATATTTGGTAAGGATATTTCCCCTCTTTGGCCTCAGTACCACCGACAATTCGGCTGGCTGGGAGAGCTGAAAAAATCACAGAAATTCCCAGAAATTTTACCTTCTATCCGTGAGGATAGAAATTGAATTGATAGGTATTCTTCCATTATTTGAAAAAATATATCAATTTTTACCCTTTCCGGAGACATTGAAAAATCGAAATATTCATTTTCTTGCTGATCACGTATCTCTGTTTTTTTTACTTTCTTCCATTAAAAGTAGATCATAGAAAGGGAACATATCGATATTTTTTCGTCATCTAAAAAAAATCAGTTTAAAATTTTTCAGAAAATTAAAAAATCGCATTTTTTATTCTCTTACTGACCATCTCTCCCTGCATTTTTTTCATTTCCTCTCAATGAAATCAAATCATGAAAACGAAAAATATTGATCTTCCTACACTATTGAAGGAAAAAAACTCAATTAGAAAATTTTTCGGAGACATTGCACAAATGATATTTTTATTTTCTTGCTGATGATCTTACTTTGCATTTTCCTTATTCCGTTCGATTGAAATGAGATTAAAGAGATGAAAAATTTTCATATCCGTTGACATTTAAAAGAAAATTGGTAGGTCTTCATTTAAGGAAAAAAAATATGATCAATTCCAAAAAATTTTATGGGTACATTGAAAATTGTCAACGGACTGACATTAGAAAGAGTAGGTGTTTATCTTAAAAGTAACGTATTCAGTCATGGTCAATTATACGTGGCATTGTCAAAAGTGAGGGCAAGTAAAAAATTGAAAATATACATGACTGAAGGAGGTAAAATAAAAAATGAAGAAGACGGAAATAGTGATATGAAAAATGTAGTACATAAAGAAATTTTTTAACAATGATGTAATTGTAAAAAGTATATAGATTATCATCCAAAAAAAAGTATCAATACTCTTTATTATTCAACATAAATATCTCTTCATTTGAAAATGAGAAAAACTGTTCCCACCATTTGTATACTACAATGAAAATAGAATCCAATAAATTTAATTGAATCTAACCGCAAGGAAAAATTGGAATGAAAACAATAAAATAAATTAATATAATATAATATGATCTAGCGACGGACGCGAAGCGCCTATTCGATAGTATATAAAATATAATATAGAAATAATTTGTATAGAAATATCCGAATATCATATCAATCCGTATAGAAAGGGTCTATACGAGTTTTTCATACGTGTTCAGGAATAAAAGTGTGACATCTCCTTTTCATATAAGATTTTCAGTATCGTTATGAAATAATTGTTCGTCTCAATGCCTTGACAATGCAAATGATTCTCTATTGCAGACTAATGATGAAAATTTTTGTGATTGACGTTCTTATTAATTTGACTTACCATTAGCTGCAAGGGCTAAGCACAGAATGTTGATCAACAGAAAGATCTTCATGATCAAGCCGATGGGGATGTTATACCAATACCTTCGGAAATTCGCTTCTTTTATAGTTGAATCATATTGCGCATTAATGATTGATATTGATGATAGGTTTTATCGTGAATACAAAATCTGAGCCAATACAGGAAGGGGAATTTCATTGATTGATGAGACGGCTTTATCAGGTCAATCGGCCCAAACTTTAATAGTTAATCACAAATCCGCTGTATTGTCATAGCTAAGTAGTATCGAACCGAAGATAAGATACAGGAAGGATATTTGAGAGATTCTAATTAAGATCACTCATTAATCTAGAAACGTTTTTCAACTATCATTGGGTGAGGGATGAGTAGGTGGAAATTCCCAGCGGTGCTGATGTATTAACACGCACGACAAAATTTTATTGAAAAACCTATCAAATTCGTTAGAAAATTCGATTGAATTCTATTAAACTTTCTATTACTTTTTGGCTGATTCTATTGACATGTTCAATAGAAAACATTCCATAGAAAAAGTCAACAGAATTCGATTTTTCTATATTTTCTATAACTTATTCTTTTCATATATTTTCTATAGAATTGGCTCGACTCAAATTTTCTAAGTTTTTTTCATTCTATTTTTCTTTTCTTCTCATCAACAAAATCAAATGAAAAAACTCAGAAAATTTGAGCCGAGGAAATTCTACAGAAAATATCTCAATAGAATAAGTTATATAGAAAAATTGAATTCTATTGACTTTTTCTACTGAATATTTTCCATTGAACCTTTCAATAGAATCGGCCAAAAACTAATAGAACATTTCAATAGAAATTCAATAGAATTTTCTAACGAATTAGATAGGTTTTTCTATTAAATTTTTCGTCCGTGAATGAATTGATGGTGCTGCTCACACCCATCAAAATTAATAGGTAATACTGAATAAGTGTACGTATGCAAAAATCGTAAAGAAATTTTCTACACGGATTGCGTATAGAAACTCTATAGGATTTCCGTATATGATATTCGGATATTTCTAGGGGAGGATGGGGCAAAACGGCCCTCCTTCAATCGTCAATATTTTCCGATTCAATAATCCGATTGGGATGAGTTAAAGCTCGTTTTGAAGAATGAAAAATTATCTTCAAAATGAAGTTGAAAGTGGGAATTTTCACAATGTCATTCACAAGTTATTGACAATTGAAGGGGGGCCGTTTTGCCCCACCCTCCCCTATATGAATATTTTCTATACGAATTATTTCTATACATAAATTTTTACATCATTTTTTTTTTCATACGGAAGATTCTTAACACTCCAGAGAAAAATGTAGAGAAATGTCGCGAATCCATACGAAATGTTTCTATAAAAGTGGTAATGGGTCGTATAGGATCAAACCTGTAGAAATCGTATAGAAATAATTTGTATTAAAAATATCCGTATAGAAATATCCGAATATCATATACGAAAATCCTATAGAATTTCTATACCATTTTTTCATACGTGTGGAGCCACAGCGGAATAGTTTATAAATTTTGAGAGGAGAGCACTGTACGGTGAATAAAAAATTAGTAACGAGACATGACGAAGAAATTTCATACAAAAGCCTAACAAATTTGCTTGAAAATTCTACTACTTTTACTATTATATATATTTATATTATCTTTACTATCATATATACTTCGGCTATTTCTTATCCAGTAACATGCTCTTCTTGAATCTGAGTACGGTTGACATTAAACCGTTAGAAAACATTTAAAAAATCAGAAAAAGAAATTCGAAAGTTCACTTTTGGAAAAGTAAGTTTGCAAAACATTGCAATCTTTGAAAATTACGAGCATTTTCTATAAATAATTTATAAACAATCAACTTTCCACTATAATAATCATTTGTTTGGAGTCGTAATAAAATTATTCATAAAAAACGATCATTTGAAATAATAATTCTTTTCAATGCAATAAAGTATGAAAATGTTTTTTTTCTTCGAAAGATGTTTAAGGTTTGTTATAAATGACATAAAGCGTCAAAAAAAGTCCTGCTCAGGGATATGTTTCAGAAAACATCGATTATCGAAGAACAATCGAATAGATTGTTCTGGTTGTGAATCGATTTTCTGGAAAAAACATCGATTATTTAAAAAATCAATGTTTTTCTCATTACACAGGAATTTTTTTTTTATTTTAAAAATTTTGAGAAAAATTGAAATTAAAAAAAAACAATAGACGACTGGACTTACTCGCTTATTATTTATAGCGCGTATACTGTAGAAAAGAATTACTTCTAATTGAGGATAAATTATTACTTTTTTAATTCTTAATCGATCAGTATTATTCTTCGATAGAAAAATGAAAAATTTTATTAGCCGGCTCAAAAACATGGATGTTTGGAAAAAGGAATCGAAAATCGATTAATCGGTAGTTGAGAACATCGAATGAAAAACATTGATGATTGGGAATGAAAAATCGATATTTTCGATTAATCGGCCGTTGAAAACATCGAATGAAAAACATCGATGGTTTCGATTAATCGACAAACACCGCAAATCCCTCCCTAGTCCTGCTCCGGGAAGAAAATTGTCTCTCCCTACCGTTGGTAAGGCAGACAGTCACGCATGACCGACGCTGAAACTGTTGGTATCACGGAGTAACAGGGGGATTTCATCATTTGAAGAATGTCGTGAAAGTCCGGTGTAACTCAAAGAACCGTAGAAACCTATTGATAGTGGGGCAAGTGTTCCAGGGAATGAGTTAAGTTTTTACGACTTACCTAGGATATCAATATTCAGGTAATCGCGAGTTAATGAAACGTCAGAATATATAACTCTGACGATCGTGAACACTCAAAATATTTCCCTAATTCCACAATGTCCAATTCTTTATTTAGATTATGTCTCATTTTTCAAGTCATTTGTGCTCCGATATTGTTTATTGACACTTAATAACCTCAAATATAAGTCCTGTTCGTGGACAATGCCGATAAGAAACTTTTGTGGAGTTCCAATTCAATTTGGTGTTCGATGAACTGATCCATTGCAATGCTCCAAAATGTTTGAAAATATCTTTAGAATTTTGAGAGCTTTTTCTGTGACTTGTTATTCTTATGAGCATTGAAGAATATTATTTTGCCACAGTTTCGTCATAGTTCATTCAATAGAACAATAATCCTTCGAATATTTCGAGGTTATGGAACGCTAGAACGAATTCTGGTTTTTCGGTTTTCTTTTTTCTTCAAATTGCTCTCTTTCGATGATTTATGAAATGAAATTAACAATGAATTGTACATGACAGAAAGAAGTTGATTTTTTTTGTATGTAAGAATGTTCAAAAATTCTCTTCATTTAAGGGGAGACTATCATGAATTTTAAAAGTCGTGGGCTCTTGGAGTGAGGTTTCTCATGCATTGAAGATCGATTATATATGTCTAAAAACGAATAATTAGTGCAAAAAATTAATTGTTTATTGTTCGTTTGCCCCGCAGATGCTTAAAATGTTAAAAGTAGTCCAGGGCCTCCAATTTTTGAGCTACAGAGGTTTATTTTTCAAAATTTTTGAAAAAATGGGTAGAATAGCAATTACGAATTAGTTTTTTGACATTCGACTCCTACACCTCTAATTTCGTTTTGCTTAATATAAAACTTTGCGCCATTCATGTAAAATAGGCAGAACAATCATCATAAAATATTTAAAATATATTCTCGATTCATTCAGAATCATTTTTCGGACTATCTTACATGACTGGGGCAATTTTTCATTTAAAAAATAACTAAATTAGCTGTGTAGGAGTTGAATTTCAAAAAACTAATTCGTAATTGTTATTGTACACATTTTTTCAAAAATTTTGAAAAAAAACCTCTGTAGCTCAAAAATTGGAGGCCCTGGACTATTTTTAACATTTTGAGCGATTGCGGAGTAAACGAACAATAAGCAATTTTTTTTTGTGCTAATTATTCATTTTCAACATATATAATGGATCTTCAATGTATGAAAAATGTCATTCCAATAGGTAATGTTAAACTTAAAAACGTGACAATTTTTCTCTTTCAGAGAATTATTATGTCGCATACGACAATGGCACTAGTTCGGAATTTGCATCGATTTATCCCAATATCTAGACTTCAACCCAAAGTCAATCCATCGGTATTAAAAAATCCCAATCAGACGAGTTTTGTGAGAGCAGCCTCGACTACACAACCACTTCAAGAGAAAAAGGAAGAGTGAGTATTTAAACGGAATTCATGGGAAAAATTCTATTAATTTTCTTGAGCAATGTTTTTGTTGGAATCTTTTGCTACATTTATACGTATCCATCAGAGCGTTCATTTGAGCCCCATTGAATATCTAAATTTAATCTTGTCTTTTTAACGTTTAGGAAATATTTCGAAAATCTGAAAATATAATTTTTCCATGAAAATTTATGCAGTAACTGCAATATTTGCATTTTGGTAAAAGAGAATTATTAGAAGTTAATACCTTTTTCCATAAACGAATAGAATAGAATACTTTATTTCCTTGATGCTACTGTTACAGTTTTACATCTACACAAGCCAAAGAAAAATATCTCCAAAAACACTCCAATAAATTGTTTTTATATCAATAATGTATAATAACTAATGATAATATCACAGTATCACAATTTAAGCGATTGTTCAATTTCTAATCTCTTAAAATTTCTTTTCACCTTAGTCTCTCAACACTCTATCTTAACTAGCTCCATCCATAAATGATTTTTCAGTAATCTTTCCACCCTAGCAATAATTTCTTTGAAATCGAAACAATTTTCATTATTCATTGATGAGAAGGAAATGTAAACAAACAGGCATCTGTTTGCACAATATATTTTAAATAAATCTAGCCATCGATTACTTTTTTTGCAATTTAATTATAACTTTGATAATTAAAAATTTTCAAATCTATAAGAAGCACTTGAATATCTCATTCCATCTTTATTTTTCTCGTAATTAGCATGGGAAAAATTTTGTGTATTTTTTCAGAGTAAAAGTCACATTCATAAGGGCAAGCGGAGAGAGAATCGAGGCAAAAGGAAAAATCGGAGACACACTCTTAGACATTGTTGTCAATAACGAAATTGATTTGGATGGCTACGGTTAGTTGAAACACTATTTATCAATTTCTCGAGGCGATTTCGTACGAATATGACCAATTGAAATGTTATTTTGATGGCGCAGGTGCCTGTGAAGGAACACTGACGTGCAGTACGTGTCATTTAATACTTCCAAAGGACATTTATGATAAATTACCTGATAAACCAACGGACGAGGAGAACGACATGTTGGATCTAGCCTCTGGACTGACGGAGACGTTAGTATTTCCTTGAAAAAGCCCAAATGAGTAGTGGTTTTTCAATCAGAAATTGTCAGGGGCTGTAAAAAATATTCTTCAAGTTTTTCCTTTAAATCCAGTAGTTTCCGAGAAATTTGGAAAATAACCTGGATTCAATTTCAAGAGTTATCTATTTATGGAATTTGCCTTCAAAATTTTTAATTCATCAATTATCCTTATAATGAGTGGTTTTAAGACAAAATTTTGAAGGAAATTCGGTAATTCTTTGTGATGAAAAAATTTTCTTTAAAGCACATCTTTTTGAATTTTTTCTTCCAATATCAATGATTCAACGATATTTCTATGACTATTAATTATTCCGAATAAATAAGGAAATGAAATGCCAGTTTGAAAAACCATCGCCATTGATTTCAAAATCTTTCATTCAATTTTTGACTTATAAATCCCTTTTGAATTCCCGATACTGAGCGAAATATTTGCAAATTTCTCTTTTGAGAAAAATATTTGTCATGTACTAGAATCAAAGATTAATCCATTCGAACGCATTTTGCTGAATCATTCGCAGCAATAGGTCAATTTAGTCAAACTCAATTTCCATTTTTCTCTTTCTTCTCATTTAGGTCTAGACTTGGTTGTCAAATAATCCTAACGAGAGACCTGGATGGACTCGAGGTTCAAGTACCCCCAACGCTCTACGATGCTCGTAGCTGAGACAGCAAAATCAAACTAATGAAATTAAAAAATCTAGTAAAGTGACATTCAACAATGAATGATTAAAGTCCAAATTCGTCAACCGTGGTTGTCAGATGTACATAATAGGTCAAGAATAATGATCACGAAGTGCTCAGTTTTTTTTACACGACTAAACAATCGTTGCAATTTCAAAAGCGTACTTGGATACATGTACATGAATAATTGGGAAATAGGTGATAAATATTTTTTGTAATAGAAAAAATAAATTAAGTAATTGTTTTACTGTTTAAAATGATTTATTCTAAACATTAAACATTGGGCTTATAAGTTTCTCGTGTGTACATAAAGCTAAAACACTTTTGTACTTCAATAATATAACAAATAATTTACTTCTCTAGAATATATAAGAAAAAAATACCCTCTTCGTTACATAATATAATATTTTATCCTATTTCATACAATTACGACATTACGATCGAGTCAGTTTAATTCTATTTACATAAAGCTCACTTGAGAATTTTTTTTCTCCTCATAAAAAAATATAATTCCATGATAAAACAGAATGACGACAATTTAAGTTATTTATTAGGTTCTAGTCTTCAGGCACTTTTGTTATTTTGAGAATCTCAAGAATGAACAGATCGAGAATAGGGTAGCCAGACCAATAACTAGACGATTTCAACTTTTTTTAATATTCTGTAAAAAATATAATAGAAATAAGATAGAAATAGAAATAGAATTAGGGCAGAGTGGGGCAAAATGAAACCGTCGAAAAATGACAGACGCAATTCAAGCAACAAAAAATTTTTTGGTAATTTTTTTTTTCAACTTATTTATTATTGGGAGTACCGATAAGAATAACAATCTTTTATTCGTCTTATAATCAATTGATTGGATCAAGCCAATTACACTGTTCTTTTTTCATTTGATTGAAAATGTGATTCAACATCACATTTTCCTTTTTCCCCCTCCGGGTCTCCCCCTCAAGAATAGAAAAATGTTAAACAAAAGTTAATAAAAATAAATATTTAACAAAAAAAATTTTTTGATTCAATTGCGTCAAAGAGTCATTTTTCAACTGTTTCATTTTGGTCCACTCTCCCCTAGCAATTTCCATTTTTGATGATAAAACTAATGTACATTAATACGACGACTTTCTTATTTTTGATTGATGAACATTTTGAACGTAAAAAAAGCAAATTGTCGCGAGGTAGAGTATTGGCTCTCAGTGGCTGATAAATTACTCTTATCGAAAACGATCATTCTTCATTTTTTAACATGCAGAAGGATTAATTTGTTTGAATAGCAGTTAAATATGACCGTCTGTCGTATGCTTGAGCTGTATCCCACTTTTTGATCACTTTATCATTTATTCCTTCATTGTTTCCACTTGAAATAATTATTTTCTCATAATTCATATATTTCTTCATGTACAGAACCCTTCGTTGGCGTATTTAGGTGATTTATCAATTTTGGATTTCTTGACGAACCTCTAATTGTCCTCAACTGTCTATCTATTGGTCTGGTTACCCTAGTTCACCGTCAGACCTCTTGTTGAAAATATCAAGAGCTCCAAAAAAAATCTCCTCAGTAAATGTCTAGAGATATTCCCAAAATAATGTCGACAAAAGTTTTCAGGCACTTCCTTGAGATTCTTCATCAGTAGAATAATACGTTAATCATTCTCCGTATACAGTGATAATAATCCAGAGTAATAAACAATTACCGACATGATAAAATCGTGTTATCTTTTTATGTACAAATGCGGGAAGTTACAAATCGAGTGGAGCACTATTTATTGTACAATAATACGGAAATAACGTAAATGCAAGAGTTTCGTAATTCTAAAGTACATGGGGAGGTCTTTTCTTTATATTTGCCATTGTTTTACACTGGGGTCCATAAAATAGATAAGAGCTTTGGTTTTGCGATAATGATTAATTATCATTTCAGTTGTTAATTTATTATAGGTGATTCTGTCTTGTTTCGAGGAGTGATTATAGTTGCATTCAAACTATCTTGGCGAGTAATGGATTTGAAAAATATCAAGGGAGAAAGAAACCGGGTCTCAATAGAGTAAATTTTATAATAAAATCGAAATCTATCGATTTTTTCTGTAAAATATTCTCTACTGAACATTTTCTGTCGAAAACGCGTTGAAAAGTTGCATAATTTCAATAGAATCGAGTGCGGCAAACTAGTGGAATTTTCAATATAAATCCAATAAAATTTTTGGCAGGTGGCATTTTTTCATATTTAATATTAAAATAATCCATCGAACTTCCAAATATACATGTTTGCTTGAAGCTGGTGCAACCGGGCCTCAATTGAGTAAATTTTATAACAAAATCGAAATCTAGCGATTTTTTCTACAAAATATTTTCTGTTGAACATTTTCCACCAAAAACGCACAGAAAATCTGCAGAATTTCGATAGAATCAGGGAAAACTAATGGCATTTTCAACAGAAATTCAATAAAATTTTTGGCAGATGACATTTTTTCATATTTAATATTAAAATAATCCATTCAACTTCCAAATATACATGTTTTCTTGAAGCTGGTGTAACGGGGGCTCAATTGAGTTAATTTTATAACAAAATCGAAATCTATCGATTTTTTCTATAAAATATTTCCTACTGAACATTTTCCATCGGGGAAAAACTAATGGAATTTTCCAACGAAATCCAATAGAATTTGCAAGCAAATGCACTAGATTTTCCTACGAAATGTTCTCCGTTCATGAATTTAAAAAAATAATGTTTTGTGCCCTTTTTCTCAAAATCCATTTTCCTCGATATTTCCCCTACAGCCAGTCTTTCCAAAAAAATCATCCCCACTGAATTAAACGAGAGGAGAGAGCTCGTGAGGACTGTTAGTATTAGCAGCACTGCTGAGGTCCAAAGTGGCAGTTGGTATTTTTGAATATTTTAATATTAAAATAAGTCATCCAACTTCCAAATATACATATTTTCTTGAAGCTGGTGCAACCAGGCCTCAATTGACTAAATTTTATAATAAAATAAAAATTTATCGATTTTTTCTGTAAAACATTTCCTACTGAAAATTTTTTTCCATCAAAAACGTATACTGATAGAAAAGGTGGAACGATTCAGTTGCACCAAACGAGGCTTCTTCACTGTTACCGCGATTCGTTAATAGTTAACGAATCGTGGTAATAGTTAAAAAGTCTCGTTTGGTTCGACTAAACCGTTCTATCAGTGTACAGAAAATCTGCAGAATTTCAATAAAATCGGGGAAAAACTAATGGAATTTTCTAACGAAATCCAATAGAATTTTCAAGCAAATGCACCCTGTTTCCCTACGAAATGTTCTTCGTTCATGAATTTCAAAAAATAATGTTTTGTGACCTTTTCCTCGAAATCCATTTTCCTCGATATTTCCCCTACAACCAGTCTTTCCAAAAAAATCATCCCCACTGAATTAAACGAGAGTAGAGAGCTCGTGAGGACTGTTGGTATTAGCAGCGCTGCTGAGGTCCAAAGTGGCAGTTGGCATTCCAGGACTGACACTGCCACTGGCCTCGCGCATCTGATGCTGGGATCGATTAATTGACTTGTTAACAGGACTCGTTGGAGTTCTGTCACCAGCCGGTGTAGTTGGAGGACTCGCTGGCACCCTGTGGACATCGATACTCGAGTGATTGTGGGCGGCTGGACTTGCTGACAGGGTCAGCAGTACTGGGGACATCTGCGCGTGCCTCAGAACGTCGTGCGACTGCTGATGCACCTGTGTTTGGGGGTGAGATCCTCGGGGGTGATGGGGCAGGGTTGAGTTAATGTGTTTCGGTATTGTACAGTTGCCACGTGGGATGGTAGAGGTGCCACGTGGGATGGTGGCCTGTTGCTGGGCCTGTTGCATCTGCTGCTGACGCTGCAGCTGCGCTGCCGCTTCGCATTGCGCCCGCGCAAGCGCTTTCACGGCGTTTGTCTTCTCCTGTTGAGGAAAATGATGATTACCAGGAGTTTTTAGGCGTTGGGCTTCGTTTTAAAGCTAGATTGGTCACCACGTGGGGGAAACGCCGCAATCACGTATGAAAAACTTCGATAGAAAACCTAGCGAATTCGCTGGAAAATTCTATTGGAATTCTGTAGGAATTCTATGGGGTTTCTATAGGATTTTTATTGGAATTCTATTGGAAAATTCTATTTTTTTTGCGCTGGTTGTATTAGATATTCGATAAGAAACAGTCAATAGATTTAGAATTTCTGCCGGAATTTTTCTCGAGATTTTTTCTATTAGAAATTATTGGGCACAAATTTTCGAAGTTCTTTCCGCTGGATTTTGTTTGGTTTTGCGTTACAGAATGCGAGTGGAAAAAAGAAAATTGATGACCAAGCATTCTTATAGAAAAAATCTGAAGAGAAAATTTCAAACAGAAATTCGAAATCTATTGACTTCTTTTTATCGAATATCCAATAGAATTAGCGCAAAAAACAAATAGAATTTTCCAATAGAATTCCAATAGAAATCCTATAGATGTTCCATAGAATTACTATTGAATTCCAATAGAATTTTCTAGCGAATTTGCTAGGTTTTCTATTAAATTTTTTCATACGTGATGCGTCATTTTTTAATTATAAATTCATTATGTCATTATGAATTTGTCAATTTTAACATAAGTCTTAAAAAATGTTAAATATTGAATTAACCATCAATTTGTACATTCAAATTTTGAAATATTCCATTAACCAATAATTTAGGTGGGAAGATTGACGATTATTTGGATAATCGAAAATCAAGTACCTAAATTTAGAATTAATTTATTAACGAAAAATTTACATTTCAATATTATCAAATATTTGATTTACCATTAATCGGAAAATTTAATTATTAAATTTTATAATATATTAAATTTCGATAAATATAGGTAAACTTTGAACAATATAAGTAGATAATCCTTTTTAATATTGTCCAAATCTAATATTGTTGGCCATCCCTGCTGCTCAGAAAAAAGCACGGAAAACCCTTAGAAATGAAAACAACTATTAATTAAATCTTTGTACGATATTAATCATTAATATATTAGTTCAGTGGTTAAATTGAGTTGCATTACGTTGTCTGTTGAAAAGCAAAGAATAAAAAAAATGAAAATTAAAAAAATTTCGACCAATTCGTAAAAATATAGTAATTTCACAAAAACTAGTTGATATGTTGTAGTTGAAATGTCGCCTAGTTGAAAAGACGTGCCACCTTGCAACAGGAATAGCCATTTCCATAAATTATAATTACAGTTACATTATTTTAGAATTCCCCCAGGTTTAAATTCTCAGGACTGATGTATCTCTACAATAATATCATATTATGGAGATCCATCAATTTTTCATGACAAAAGTTGGGCATTCGTTGCAATAAAAAGCCCTTATCAATGATAAAATTTCCATGCCACGTATTTTTTTCGTAAACAAATAACAGAAATGCCAAGAACAATTAAAAAAATTAATTAATGAATATGTGAACAACCTACTCTTTGCCACACAAAGACATTGTGTACCATAGCGCAGCCGCAGAAGACAATTCCAAGGCCAATAAAAACAGACATGACTATCGCTGGCGTCGAGTGAAATTGAATAAATGTGTAGAGTATCATACCTGCAAAAGAAGAACATTCGGATAACGTTCCTAAATAACTCTCGTGTTTTCGAGGAAATGTGATGAGCGAGGATTGAACGGTTAAACACAGGATGAAACAAAAGGTGGAGTGGGATGAGTAACGAGAAATGAGATGGAAAAAAACAATATGATGAATCTCACCGGTGAGGAATACTGGAATGCTGACGAAGAATCCACCGACAGCGCACATCCTACTTAATGATGATTTTTGCAGGTACATATTTGTACTGAAATTGGAGGAGACAAAAGCCATTACGACATTGCAAGGAAATTTTAATTTGAAGGCGAGTGGAATTTTCATTTCATCCACTTGACAATTTTTGCTACCGAACGGAGGTTTTGTAATTGTATAAAGTTAAGTTTTGGGTTTGTCGGGTTATATCAACACGTTATGATCCAATATAGGGGAGGGTGGGGTAAAACGGACACTTTAAACTTTTTTAAATTATTCATAACTCAGAAACAAATTGATCAATTGAGCTCAGTTTAGGCTCGTCACAAAGGGAAAGAATTGTTCTTTGTATTGGAAAAAAAATATTAAATTTTATCAACATTTCAACCCCTCATTAACATTTTAAAAAAAGTCAAAAGTGTCCGTTTTACCCCAACCTCCCCTACTATTTTTTAAAATGTAGGGGAGAGTGGGGCAAAATGAAACCGTGAAAAAAATTTTTTATTAAACGTTTTTTTATCAACTTTTTTTTATTCTAGGGAGTACCGTTTATTCCATTCTGCTGAATGTAAAATTATTATTCTCATCAGTACTGCCAAGAATAAAGAAAAGTTGACAAAAAAAAATTAACATAACAATTTTTTTTGCTTGAATTGCGTCAAACAGTCGTTTTTTTGACTTTTTTATTTTGCCCCACTCTTCCCTAGCTATTGTTGAGTTCTATCCATCGACATTAATCAAAATTTAATTCACATATTAATTTTTAGAACTTCCGAACTTCCGATACGCAAGCGATCGCATTCCGAACTTTTGATAAAATCGTTGTCCCATGTGCGATGACTCAAAAAAATGTTTTGAATTGATTGAATGATGCCTTTAAAGAATTGTTTCGATGTCCCTTTGACCGAGTTTGAGGATGCAAGCAATTTTCCACTTGTTTTCATTAATTTGGTCTAAGTGTGCATTAATGAAAGAATTTATGATTAACATCATCCAATGTTCAATTTCATAGAGATGTATTTTTTGTTTGTTCTAAAGGTTTCTGATTTTTTTTGAATATTTTTAGATCAACGCGATGTAAATAAATTTCTAAATAATCTTATCTCTTCATTGATATTGCAATTCGCCTCAAAATAACATCTCTTCCACTTCAAATTGATATTCGAATTCCTTAAATGCAAAAGTACTTGAGAAATATCCTACCATTTACGAGATTTATTATTTGTATTATCACTGAAGTGGGGAAATTTCGTTATCGCATGATATAAAATCGTAAGAGTTCAAGTCGGTCTTCCTCGTAGACATGTCTCATTATGCAGGTATTTAATCTTTGCTAATAGATCTCTTCCGCTTCAATATTGATAACAAAATGCCTTTAATTTTTATCAGTTGATTGATTTATCTCTACGCAAATACTGATATGCCAACAACTATGTCTTGTTTCTCGTCGCGTATCTATTCCCGCTTCAAGATTTTCGTTGAATAGAATTATGCATAATTCAACCTGTCGACTTTCTCCAATTCAACTTCAATGCAATTTTCTTCTGCTTCTTAATTTTATAAGGCTGCAGTGAAGTTGTGCGTCACATGACCGTCATTTTTTGGTCATATTTTTCTTTATAGAGGAGGGTGGGGCAAAACGGCCCCCCTTCAATTGTCAATAACTTGTGAATGACATTGTGAGAATCCCCAGTTTCAACTTCATTTTAAAGATAATTTTTCATTCTTCAAAACGAGCTTTAACTCATCCCAATCGGATTATTGAATCGGAAAATATTGACGATTGAAGGGGGGCCGTTTTGCCCCATCCTCCCCTATGTATCTTACGATATTTTATGATACTCGTGAGAAAAGAGCGATTCTTTGCGCGCGAAGAGTCCACTTGTATGATAAGAAGTTATTAACAATTCAAATCAATTTATTTTCGTTCGATTTTTTTAATGAAAAGAGAAGGAAAATGCAATGGAAAAAACTTATAAAATTCATGTCAAGAAATTCCTATAGAAAATATCTCAATAGAAAAAGTTGTACAGAAAGATGAAATTTTCAATAAATTTTTTTAGATTTTTCTACGAAATGTTTTCGTGCGTGAACTTTTTTAGAACTCGAATGATTCTCCACTATAAGATCTACTAAAATGTCCATCTACAGGGTGACTTCAGCACTTTGCTTACAAATTTCAGGCAGATATAGAATAGAAAATCGGGAATTCAATGGTACAAAAATTACGAAATTCCGATAATAGACGAACATTAGAATTTAATGATTAATTTAATGATGAACATTAGAATTTTTCAATACTTCAGCCAATTCGAGGAGCTGGTCTCCTCAATCGCGTGACTCAGTGATTTCCACAATCAGATGATTTCCTGTTGATGTCGGTGATTTCGCGAATGATTTTTGTGATTTCTCAATCAACATTAGAAATCATGATTTCTTTTGATTTCTTGTGATTTTCATGATTTTTAGTAGATTCCAATGATTTCTTGATTTCAAGAAACCGTTGCATTTCGGGATTGGGTGATTTCGAACGCACCGGTACCATAACAAAAATTATAGAGTTGAAACTGCAAAATCAATTTCGATTTTACACTCATCGATGATTTCTAATGATTTCGGAAATTACTTGATTTCTTTATGATTTCTTCCTTGATTTCCAGTCGAGTGGTCTAGTGATTTCCTAAGTATTAGCCCCTCGAGCCAATTACATCGCGATTGACTACGGCCATGATTGGAAACGATGACGCAGTTATCAATGAGACTTGATATGAAAATTAATATCGCTCTTCATGTTGATAAAATTATCGGTGCATGCACTGAGAGAAAAATTTCCTAATACGTAGACCAGATTTACTTGAGAGGAGTAAATTATTTTCAAGGGTTTAAATCTCAGAATGTTTGTGGCTCACGGAACTCAAATGAATTCTCATTTATCACTATCGGTGCGCATTATATCATGAATATATTACATATCGAAATAGTGGAATTGCACAACAAAAAAATTATGAAAACAATAAATACTTGACGATTGGCGATTCTTCTACGCGATTTGAGTGAGTTCATTTGCAACAAAATCATACTTGAGTACAAGAATATTTTGAAGCATGAGACCTTTCTCGGGCCACATGAGTTGAGATGTCTGGTAGAATTGAGCAATTGAAGAAAAATTACTTGTCTCAAGAAAATATGTTTTAGATATTACACGGAGAGAAATATTCCGTAAAAATTACGAAACTCACAGTTCGTTCACCGATTACGGAATCGACTCCGAAAATTTAAGTGACGGTATCGTAATTTTTCACAGGAGATTCGGGTAAAAATTGCGGAAATCTCTGGTAAAATTCCGTGATTTTAGGTAAAAATTCCGTGACAGTTCCGTAAAATTTCCTACAACCACATTTCGCTCCGGAATTACGAAAAGAAAAGAAAAAGATCCGTAATTTTTCTTGAATATTTCTCTCCATGTAGAAATTTTTTTTCTCAGTGTGGCTGCAATGAACATTGCTCAAACTATCGCACACAATGGTGCACCAACTATCGCGCATGTCGCTACAATCATCGCAGTAAATATCGATGAACGAAATATCTAAAATATTCACTCATTGAATTTGTCTCCGGAATAGACAGACTAGAGAAGCCTTGAGAATATCCACGCGGAAAAAGGTCGCCGTACTCGTGCAGCCGAAGGGCCGGTAGCAATGGCATCGTGGGAATTTCTAGCGGGGTATCTTATGAGCTCCAAGAGCAAGTTTTTTTTTCACTTATTCTCCAGCGCTTTTCTTTTTTACCCTACAACGCGAGTCGCGGAACATGTCTGAAGGACGCTGAACCTGGTGATGGGTCTTCAGTTGCATCGAAAACCTTTAGGAAGTCATGCAGACGGATGAATGAGGGGGAACCAACATTCTTTGTAGAACAGCTCGGTTATTTCCTATGTTCACGGTTCATCACAGCGCTGTTTGGTAGGCGAGGAACTTCCGGGCCGCACCTGTTCGATTTACAAGTGGGTATTGTGCATCTGTCTGGCGAAGACAGTCTGACAATGGAGACTAGCAGTAATCTAATCGAAATGATTTTTTGGGTAAATAAAACATTCCAACGAATTTAAGGGGAAGCCGCTAAAATTGCATTTTCGGACTTTAGGGATTACAATGGGTTGATATAGGCAAAAATCCTAAACTTAAGGATATCGAAGTAGTTTGACTATTTTTTCACCTGGGAAATGCTCTGCTACTTTTCTTGTCGAACATCGGAGCTTTCATTTGGGCCCCACACGGACGAAAAAATTTAATAGAAAAACCTATCGAATTCGTTAGAAAATTCTATTGAATTTCTGTTGAACTGTTCTATTAGTTTTTGGCCGATTCTATTGAAATGTTCAATAGAAAATATTTAGTAGAAAAAGTCAATAGAATTCAGTTTTTTTCTACATAACTTATTCTATTGGGATATTTTCTAAAGAAAAATAGAATGAAAAAACTTGAGTCCAGCAAATTCTATAGATAATATATGAAAAGAATAAGTTATATAGAAAAATCGAATTCGATAGGTTTTTCTATTCAATTTTTTCGTGCGTGCATTTGACCCTGACTTTCCGAACATTTTACAATGATTTTATTATTTAAACTTTGCAGGTTTAAATTTGAATCTCAATAGTGAACTCTTAGAAAACATTTCAAAAATCTGAAAAACATTGGAAGTTTCACTTTCTGAGGAAGCTTCATGAAATTATTAAATCTTGGGAAATATGTTGTTCTAAAAACTGCTATAATTTTTCAGACACTTCAATTGACAAAGTCAAATTTTTTGAATTTTTCCTGTTAGCCAGTCAATTGTAATGAACCCTAGATCAATCACCCTATGAGGGAAAACCTGCCGCGCGTCGTTTTTCTTCAATTACAATTGACTGTCAAACCGGAAAAATTAAAAAAAATTTGACTGTCAATTGAAGTATCTAAAAAATTATAATAGTTTTTAGAATAACATATTTCCCAAAATTCCTAAAGAAAACAAATTATTTCGGACAGATGAATTATTTTTTCCCATGTTAAAGTAGCTCTACCCTTACGGTAAATTCGAAGATTATTTAAAAATTGCAAAAAAAATGGTAGAAAACTCAAATAGATTCGGAATTCTAATTTTTTCTCAATTTAATTATCGTTTTCGCTCTTCAAAAAAGAAATGTTTAAAAATCAGGATTTAACCCAGTGTCTCATGTGAAAATCAACATTTCCATTGTAATCAAAGATTGAAATCTGAATTTTTTTTCATTAGACGTGGAAAAATCAAGAATTTTTTTAACACCTCATAAAAAAAATCCACCGTTTTGCAAACAAGTTTTATTATTTATTTATAAGAAGGAAATGTTTGAAAAAATATCAATATTTTGCGAAATTTAATTGAGATAATATTGACTGGGTGTGAATTTTTTCAAATTTTTTCCATGCAATTTCGTTGCAAAATTTAAAAACTGAAAATATCCAAAGTACAGCGTAGCCCGGCCAACGGGTAGAGCTATTCTAAATGAAATCGCCCATGCTGCGACGTTGCCGGAAACTCGCTAAACGCGTCCGACCAGTGTAGAGTGAATTCGACAACGCTAAAGCCTAAATAATACGGCGGGGAATCCCCGCGGAGGTGACCAGAGTCGCAGGGTTGCATTTGGTAACCAGACTAGGGTTAAAGAAAAAGCACGCGCGGCGGTGTTTTCCTCATAGAGTGACCAATCTAGGGTTAATCAAGAAAAGAAATGCCTAATCTGACCGGAACAAGGGCATACCAAAAGGTGATCAATACGCGAGCTAGTGAAAATAAAAACCAACTCACCGATGACTCTGGTTATACGAGCTCTTGACCAGCTTCATAGCAAACAGAAACTGAATCGCGCAGACCAGCAGACAGCAGAGATTCAGCGACAGCGCCAGTGCACACAGTCCCAAAGTCACCTCATAAACAATCGTATACTCCTCAGGGCTAATCAAACTACTCGGTGTCACGCTCAACGGCGACATCTTCAGCAGGAAGATATGCGACAGCATCGCCAGCAGCAGCGAGACAAGACACAGTAGCCCGAGAAACGTCAGCATCTCCTTGACCCCGTCCTCCGGATTCTTGTTATTGAGACCTCCCTTTCCTTTGAGACAGAACGACGTCCACGAATTGTCCAGCACCGGTACAACCTGCCCACTTGTCCCAGAAATAGTCGCTATTTGCTGAACAGCAACAGGTGGATGAACAGGAACAGGTGGTGAGGGTGTCGTTTGGCTGGGCAATCTCAAGACCCTCGAAATGTCCAGGCCACCGTTCACCTGTGGCCTGTCCTGCAGGTGCGAACCCATGACCCCATGGCCAAGGTGATGATGGTAATGATGGATCGAGTGATTCGTCGATGGATGAATATCATTGCCAACGACTGGGCTTGCACTGTCTATCGAGTGCTTCGATGTTGATAGGGTTGATAGATTCAGTCCGTGAGAGTGATTCAATCTTGAGAGATTGTTGACACTCAACTGGCTGTGAGTCAGGGGATGACGGTGGACTGTGGGCTCTCGGGTCTTTGGATGTGGGTGGAGTGAGTCATATATTCCCGATTGATCGTGACAACCACGCGGAAGACGGGATGATGTCGTTGGCTGGCCTGTTGTGAAATGCTGATGATTTCCGACTATCGTTTGGCTACCGTAGTCGTTGTGGTGGAGGTGGATACTGTGGTTGTGGGGATGATGATGCTGGTTTCGAGAGCCATTCGAGGACGGCTGAACCGTCGGTATGTGCTTTAGCATCACTCGGGTGGGGGGGAGGGGGTTTGCATGGGTTATTTGGTGGAGGAATTCTTGGTTAGTTTTTTTTTCTTGAGGTATGCGGTGAAAATGGGTGGTCAATTAGTGGGGGGCGGGGAGGGGATCTCTCTTGAGCCGTCCATCGTGGGTTTAGTGGGGCCAGTGGGACTAGGGGGTGTGGGGCATTCGGAGGTTCAGGGGTGTTTTAGCGGGAAGTTGGCGGAATGGGGCTGAAGTGAAGAGTCAATTCCCACGGGCTCATCTGCAGTGGAGTTGTGCCTGTGGAGAGAGAGAGAAATTTTTTAGTTGAGATGGTTTCGGGAAATTTGATAGGTTCAGTTGTTATTGATCGATCGGTGGAACGAGTTTTCTGGGAAGTGAGCGGCGGCTGATATTGAGGCAGGTGGGAGGAAGAGTTGTGATAAAAACGGGTGGGAATGGTTTTCTGAAGAAATCGAAATGATCAGCTTAGCTTGTGCAGTCGACGGAAAAGTCTAGTTGATTTTTGAGTATACAGCAAGTGGGACGTTGCTTTTATATTGATATCGTTTTTTTTTTGCTTCCGAATGGAAACCTTGCAGAGATCGGCAGGAAAATAATTTTACATTATTAATATTTCATTGAATTATCATTTTTTTCGTAAAGAATAATAATACCAAATGTAGTTTTCATTGCGATACTAATGAGAAATGAAAGTGAAAAAAGAAACAAATAATTACCAATGAATAATGGTACAAAATTTATTTTCATTGTTATATCTATGGAAAATGAAAACCAGAAAATCTCAATTTTAGTTTTGAGGCTTTCGCGGCCATTATTAATGACTTGGTTGGCTTCCGGATGGATGCCGCGTTGAGTTTCAGCATTGCGCCGACGTTTCGCAAACATTGCAGTCTGCATCTTCAGGGCTATGAGCTCCGATTCTGAGCTCCGATGTGTGGGGGCAGTCCTTATATACCTTCCCTTGTGGTGGTGGGGGAAGGGGAAGGGGGGGGGAAGTCAGCCAATTATATGTTTTTAATTGATCAGCCAGCTGGTCAATTAAAAACATATGATTGGCTGACTTTCCCCCCCCCCTTCCCCTTCCCCCACCACCACAAGGGAAGGTATATAAGGACTGCCCCCACACATCGGAGCTCAGAATCGGAGCTCATAGCCCTGAAGATGCAGACTGCAATGTTTGCGAAACGTCGGCGCAATGCTGAAACTCAACGCGGCATCCATCCGGAAGCCAACCAAGTCAAAATCTCAATTTCTTTCGTCATTAACAATGAAACCAAATCAATTTTTCATTATCATAGTAATAGATACAAATCGTATCCAATAATATCCTTTAACGTCATAAGATGTGAAACACTATATAAACTCTCTTCTTCATTGAAAACTGATTGCCGTATGCCGGACCTAACTGCCTAACTGCTAATTTTTTGTTCATTGTCCATTTTTACTTGATATCTTATTTTAGCTCTTCCCTAAAAATATTCAATTAATGAGATAGATTTCATCATTAAATAGATGAGTATTCAATAATGTCTAGCTATAATTACTGATTAATTGAGTAATAGAAACTTTTTATTTCTGATTATCATCATAAGGAATGATATTTCGGTAATCATTGTCCATTGTCACAGTAATGAATATTTTGATGGTCAACATTACCCATTACCAGAACAATGAAAATATTCTTGTTTTTATTATTGATTAGATGAATATTGAGGAATATTTTCGATTTGATTATTGATTGAATGACTACTCTAAAATATTCAAGTGTAATTCCTGATGAGATAAATAATAATTTTTTATTGTTAATTGGTACTCATTGATACGGTATTTGAAAAATGTGAATTTCTCAATACTCATTCATAATATAATGAAAAATATTTACACGTTATTAGATATTAAGTAAAAAATATGTATTTGCGATGTAAATATTGGTGAAAATAATATTTGCGCCGATCTCTGAAGCCGTGTATTTGACCGATTTTCTGATTTTGATTCCAAATGGGCTGGAATGGCATGAAATGTGAAGAAATTATGGTTTTAGGGCCATGTCTGTGGGTGTATGTCACAAATTGGGTTTTTGATGATTAATTTTTGAAAAATTCAACATAAATACGGCGAAATTTGTAGATAAAAATCTGAAATTTTCGCTCATGTAGCTGTGATTGAGCCCAACTTTGGCGCGCTGTTTCAGCTCGATCGGTCTAGTAGATCCTGAGATATAACAACTTATTTAGATTTCAATTTTTCTTTCTTTTTTTTTAATTAATAAATTAAAATCAATAAATTTAAAAAACACTCATTTATTAAAGTCTCTCCTAAATAAATAAGTAGAAAATTCCTGAAAATGCATTTTACCTCACTTTTACGTTTTATCAAGCAATTTTTTCTGAATATTTTTCTCTGTGAAATGTTTTCCTCCAGACCTTAGAGTTTCAGAGATGTTTGTAAACTAATCGCTACAAAATTTCTTCAAATTTTCAAAACTGCAAAACCAATTACCAGACAATACCGCGGATATCTCCAAAAGGAAGAGATAAAAAACATTTCTCCGAGGATTTTACGATCTATAAAAAATTCATACATTTTTCTCCGAAGAAAACTCCCGTTTCTTGAACCTTCTCCTCCAAAAGTTGATTAAATTCAGAATTAATATCTCAAACCGAATAATGAATCTCTCCCTCATACTTGTTGATCTCGGCCTGAGATTATACGGAACGATAGCGGAAACCTGGGGATACCGATCCCTCTCGACCGCAGGAATGTGCACGGTCACAGATGTGAGTGTAAATGCGATATGGAAAAAGGGTTACGAGTGGGATCTAGCTGTAGCTCAAAATCGGTGGATTGGAATCAACGTGATTTTAGATTTAGTCGTAGTCTATTGGTTCGGACGTGCATGAGGAAATCACGGAACATTCTTGACCCCATTACTGAGTGACATGCTGCTTTATTTGTTGCTCTTGGAAGCTGTATAGGAAGTTCAAATTTGACGGGTGTTGATGTGTTTTGAGGGACGGGTTGCGCTTCTAGAGGGGATGTTGGGGATTAATCAGTCGAGGGAACCATAAATCGAAAGAGAAAATTGCCTTTATTTAGATCATTTGAAGCTGTTTGTCTACTGCACAGTTGACATAATATTGAAACGCGTGGGCATTAATAAAAAGGCGTTTGTTCAGGGGAGACTACTATGAGTTTTAAATGTCGCTATTGGAGTGACATTTCTCATGCATTGACGATCGATTATATAGCGGAGAGTGGGGCAAAATGAAACAGTTAAAAAACGACGGTTTAACACAATTCAAGCAAAAAAATATTTGTTTATTAAATATCTCTTTTGTTAACTTTTTTTTATTCTTGGGAGTACTGATGAGAAAATAATTCAAGAATATTCAATGTTCAAGAGAATGGGAAATTATTGAGGTTTGATGGGCGAAGATTTTGTCAATGGATTATTCGATTGAAAGTCAGCACCACATTTTCCTTTTTCCCCTCTGGGCCTCCCCCTGGGCCTTCCTTTGGATTTTGGATTTTGCTGTTTCATTTTTTTTTCAATTAATCCATTGACTAAATTTTCGCCCGTCAAAACTTCTCAATAACTGTCCATTCTACTGAATGGAAAATTATTATTCTCATCGGTACTCCCAAGAATAAAAAACAGTTGATTAAACAAAGATTTAATAACACTATTTTTTTTTGCTTGAATTGCGTCAAATGATCTTTTTTTGACTGTTTTATTTTGCCACATTCCCCCCTGTGTCTGACAATGAATAATTAGTGCAAAAAACTTAATTGTTCATTGTTCGTTTGCCCCGCAAATGCTTAAAATGTTAAAAATAGTTCAGGGCCTCCAATTTTTGAGTTACACAGGTTTTTTTTTTTTAATTTTTGAAAAAATGTGTACAATAACAATTACAAATTAGTTTTTTGAAATTCGACTCCTACACAGCTAATTTCGCTTTGTTTAATACAAAAATTTGCGCCATTTATGTAAAATAGGCAGAAAAATTATGCTTAAAATATTTAAAATATATTCTCGATTCTTTCAAAAACATTTTTTGGGCTATTTTACACGAATGTTGCAATTTTTCATTAAAAAAAAAAACGAAATTAGCAGTGCAGAAGTTGAATTTCAGAAAACTAATTCGTAATTGTTAAAATTTTGAAAAAAAAAACTCTGCAGCTCAAAAATGGGAGGCTCTGGACTATTTTTAACATTTTAAACGTCTGCGGAGCAAACAAACAATAAACAATTAATTTTTTTGCACTCCTCATTCGTTTTCAAACATACATAATCGACCTTTAATGTATAAGAATGCTCATTCCAGTAGCCCGTGACTTTTAAGACTCGTAGTAGTCTCTCCTTAAAATAAAATAGGACGATAGAAAATTAAATGTGTCAATAAAATAAAACGAGAGAAGAATGAATAACAAACACAAAAGTCACACTATCTTCAGAGATGTTCAAATGAAACAGAAACGAATGCATTATAAGTGGGATAATAGACATTCATAACATTACTCCCTCCTCTGGAAAACAAACAAACGTCCATCTACTGGGCAGTTTACCCTACATGGAGAGAAATATTGGATACAAATTATCTATGAAATCGTAAAAATTTTACTATACGGAAAGGCAATCGTGTAACGCAATTCCTCATTTTTGCGACATTTTTTAAATAGTGTGGGCGGCATTTCCAAATAAATTTTCTTGCTATACATATATTAAGGGAAGATGAATGAGTCACATTCATTGAACTAATAAGTCATTCTTTTCATTCTGACTGAGAATTTCCTTTGGAAAAAACTCGTCACCTCTCACAAATATCTCCATTCATTTGATTAGAATAAATGATTCATTTCTGTGAGCCTCCGCTCAGCTTCGTCAGCCTCTAATAGTTGTCCCCAAATCCTTTCATTCATACGAACAAGTCGAAGGACAAAACGGTCGCTCGAACGGTAGTCGACCTCTTGGGGACTCAGTACCTCCTCATGTTTTTAAG